ATGTAGTCTGGGCAGTCCTACTGCCTCAGCCTCCTGAGTGCTGAGGGTGTGCCACTATGCCTTGCTTCAGTGGGACGCTGTGGAGGGGAATGCCTGCCCATGGACTGTGTTTGAGCTCTTGAGCTGGCTTGTGTGTCGCTTCCTGGTGTGCCTTGTACAGTGAGGTTATGGCCAGGGGCTGGGTGTCATCTCAGCTCCCGGAAGCCTCCTGGCTCCCGCAGGTAGAGGTGACTCAGATGGAGGTGACTCGTGTATACAGTGAGCTTCCCTCAAGCACGTCGCCCCAGGCAGCACCTCTGAACTGTGCAGAAGTGGAAAGCCCTGGAACAGACAGCTTTGGGCAAGGTCCTTCCACTCTCTGGATCTCAAGTTTCTCTGTGAGGTGCCCTCCCCCAGCTGAGACTCTGCTTACTAAGTCCCCTCCAAGCAAGCCGCAGGTGTATAGACCTGTGCTTGGGGTGGCCCAGAGTGGCAGTTCTGGCCAGGCTGTGGGTGGGAGAAGGAAGGGTGTTGCTAGGGCAACCAGGTGTTATCAAGTCTGAGAGCCTTGGTTCTGGCTAGGGAATTTGCAGCTGTGGCCCTGACTGCCAGTTCTGGTCTGAGGAACAGGCAGATGTTCCCCCAGCCCCAATTTAGTGAGAGCGCAGCCTTTTGTTTCCCTGCTATGGTGAAGATGAGGGTGACTGACCTGTGTGGTGAAGGGCTCCAATTTTACAGCCAGCCAGAGCTGGGGAAGTAATCTAGCTCCCTAAGCCTTACAGGTCCTCTGTCTGTGAGGGCAGAGACAGTGTTTTGCTTTCCACCAGTACCTGGCACCGTGCCTGGCAAGGATTAATCACCCTGCAAGTGTCGGTCTGCTGCTCTTTTTTGTTAGTGTGGGACTGATAAGAAGACTGGCCTAAAAGGGAGAAGATTAGGGCAGCAAGAAACTTCCAGTTTGTAGGGATGGTGGAGTCTGTGGACTCCCTCTTCAGCAGGGAGGTCAGGTTTGCAGGGTCATAGTGAACAGAGTATGTCTTCTGGATTCAGGTGGAAATGCTGCTATTGTTTATATAGTGGAGGCTAGAGCAGGCAGTGTCATAATGTTTGCCCCCTGCAGGTTTCCTCATCTGTAAAATGAAGATAAAAGTGCCTACTTAGGATTGTTATTTACAGTTCTGTGATGTATAATATCCAGCTCCACAAACTCTGTTCTCCAGAGAGGGAGAGTTAAAGCCCGTGCAAGGTGTGCAGCAAACGTGGAAGGACCTGCAGAGGGGTCTTGTAACTTGGGAGCCAGTGTGAATTCCTACATCCCTGAGGACTTGGAGTTGCAATGAGGGAGGGGTGTCTTCAGGTGAGTTTGAGGTACAGCATGTTATAGTTCCTTTCCTCATAGTCTCACCTCCTCTGGGGTTTCCAGGAGAATCTCTTGGTAAAAGTGCTACTACCCAGCTGAAACCCTCATTGATCGACCTCCTGGAGCTCTCTGAATATAATCTACTCTGCCAAGGCCTAGGGGCCCCACCTGATCTGGCTCCTGCCCTCCTCTAACCTCACCTCCTGCCATTCTGTCCTTCACTCAGCATATTCAGACACACTGGCCTCCTTTCTATTCCTAGAAACCCACCACTCTGCCTAAATGCTTTTATACAAGCCCTTGCCTGTCTAGAAGTCTCTGCCCTCTCTACCTGCCCTGGCTGGCTCCTCATTATTTGGGTCTCAGTTCCAACATCCTTTTCTGCAGTACTGGAGATTGAACACAAGGTCTTCACACTGAGCTATATCCTCAGCCTTTTATTTTTTTGAGGCAGATCTCACTAAGTCCCTAAATTGCCCAGGCTGGGCTAAAACTTGATTTTTTTTTTTGGTACTGGGAATCAAACTGAGGACCTTGCACTTGCCAGGCAGGTGTGGAGCCACTGAGCTACATCCCTGGCCCTGGGCTAGAACTTGAAATCCTCTTTCCTCTGCCTGTCAAGATTGGCTGCATTATAGGCGTGTACCACCATGCCTGGCTACAGTGCCACAGCTTCTTAGTCTTTACTACCTAATGCCTCATTCATATATTATTTATTGAACTCCTAGCATGTGCTAGACACTAATTTAGGCTCTGGGCATATACCAGTAAACAGATAAAGTTCTCCTCTTTTAGCTGTAGTCCCTTGTACTAGCTTAATATTTGCTGACCAAATGAATGGATATGGCAGTCTCATAAGAGGAGGTTGTGACTTGTGTGTGATGCAGCATGAGCAGGATTTGAATCAGGGCCTGACACCCCTCCCAGTACCACACCCTGCAGTGCCCTGACCTTTACTGACTTTGCTGTGTCTTTGCCCATTCTGTTATCCTTGCCTGGTGATCTAGCACATCAGTAAGTCATAGAGTGGGGCCAGCAGGAAGAAGCCCAGGCTGGGGGAGCTGGAGGTCTGTGTTGAGATGGTGCCTGTGGTGTGTGACCTGGGACAGTTCTTTATGTTTCTCTGGTCCTCTGATGTCATGTTGCCAAAGTAGGAAGAAAGTCCTTGGGACCCGTGGGGTTGAACACACATATGAGGGGTTGTTACCACCAGCCACTTGATTCTGTGCCGGGCATCTCCTTGGCTTCCCAGTGTGTACTGTGTCCCTGACCCTCCAGGGGCCTTTCACAGCCTGGCCATGTCCACAGGTAGCCCTGGGCTCCTGCCTGCCTGCTCTGTGAGCGGAGTCCTTCCCCAGGGAATTACCTCAGCAGCCAGGAGGACTTGGGCACCATGCCAAGTCTGGTCTGGCTGCCTGTCCATCTACCATCTGGTAGCTGGGACCCTTCCCTTAGCCCTAGTTCCTGAGTGTTTAGGCAAGGACTTGGGGGCAGAGTTAGTGAACCGCCTCTAGAATTGAGTATCACCCCCCCCCATAGAACACCCATAGTCTCCGGCCTCAGCTTCCTTCTTCTGTCCCGGTACCCCGTGTCGGGGCGGGGTTGGCGAGTGGGCGGGATCAGTGGCAAGGTGGGAGGAGAACCTGGAGCAGCCCTTCCCCCTCCTCTGCTCGCTGTCTGTGCGGCGCCGTGAGGTGGCGGTCGGGCTTGGTGCTGGGCTGGGTAAAGGCATTGTCCTGTGCTCGGGGACGTTAGGGTGGGGGAAGCTACCCAGTGGCGCCCGAAATCATGGTGGTTTTCCTGGGCCGCCACCTCCCAGCGCTGCTTGAGCTGTTTAAAAAGAAGGGTAAGTGGGTGTGGCTGGGGGGAGGGGAGGGATCCCCGACAGCTTCCTTTGCTGGACCCTTGCATAGAAGGGGGGATCTCAGCCAGTCAGAGCAGTGGCGTGGGGGAGGGGGCTAGTAGCGAGGCCGGCCTCTCCTGTCCCGCTGCCTGCCTTTGTCCAGCCGCTTTGTTGCTACCTTTGTCTGGGCGCTGCTTGGGAGGATGAACCCAGGTGTCTCTGACCTTGAAGCCCGCGGCCCTCGGGGCAGATCGCCTCCTTGGCAGGGGTAGCCTCACTTTACTGGGTACAGCCCAGTAGCCCAGTTTAGGGAGAGGGGAAGTCCCCTCCTAGTCATCCCAGCAGATGGGAAAGGATGCAATGTGGGGAGCAGCAAGAGAAAGTAGTACTGCTGGAAGTTGAGGAGCTTGGTCCGAGGACCGCGTTTAGAGGCCTGGTCTGGGTTTTCAGGCCAGGATTCAGACAGTAAGGGGCCACAGCTTTCTGGACTTTTAGACACCTGGGGTCCCTTTTGGGAACTCAAAGTTTAGTCCTGGCTCTAACTCCTATCTGCTGGATGACACTGGATAACCTTAGGCAAGGCCTGTCCCCGTTGAGCTCCCTGCCTCCTCCCTTGCAACAGCAGGATGGGAGAGAAGGTCTGAGATCCACTGAGGTACTTGCCAGCTCTGACCTGGTGGGGTTCTGGTGGCTTTCCTGGGACAGGAGCTCTGGCTGAGGAAGGAGGAATGACAGGCATCTGAATGGAGACCCTGTTCCTGGGGCGTGGCCCTTTAAAGGGCTTATTTTGTTCCTGCCCCTCTACCAGGTGCTGCCAAGGTCACATGATGCTCCTCCTAGTGCTTTTGCTTATGTTGTGGGTTTCATTTGGGGGAGGGGGGCTGCCAAGTGCTGACACAGCCCCATCCCCAGGATTAGATGACCAGCCCCTCCAGGGCGGAGCCTGTAATGGGATCCTCTGTAATGGATCCTTGGCTGCTCTGCACCAGGGGCCAGGGCCTTGGGAGAGGGCATACCTAGGACTGTAACCCCAAGAGAGGCCTCGCTCCCTGGCTGGGGTGGAGGAGCTTGGATTCCTTCTCTCCCCTACCCATCCCTCCACAAAAGGGTAGCCATACATATGGGTGAGTAGGGGGCCCGAGAGGTTATATCCTTAGTATGTTCTTCCCTCAGGGTTTCCTGGGAGTCTGGTTATAGCCCCTGCCAGCTGCCACTCCTTCCTGGTTTTCAATGGTATCTTCTCCCTGGGTCTGTGCTGTATGAAAAGGGTGGTTTATTTTCCTTTAAAATTAGGCTTGGGGTCTAGATACAAGAACTGTATTTTCTGTGGCCTGTTCGTGTACTAGGGGTGTCTTGTGTGAGGCCCTGAGTGACATGTGGATACAAAGTTGTGTGTACACTTAAATACTGTGTGTGTACATACAGAACGGGATCTGTGGGTGTTGTGTGGGTATGTGAAGGCTGGGTGTGGGTACATATGTGGGCCTGTACTCATGCTGACTTGTATGTCTACATCTCAGAAGCCTGTGGGTGCTGTGTGCATAGACAGTGGGTCTGTGTGCCCTGTGTACAGTGCCTTTTGTGTGGCTCTTTATGTGGTGTGAGTACTCAGATGTGTGTACCCTTCGGTATAGTTTGCATGTGTATTGTGTACCCAGCAGCTGTGGGTTGTGTGTCTGGGCTGGGGGAAGTGGACACTGCATGTATGTACAGGGGCCATGTGCGGTGTGAGGACTGTGGGTGCCTTTGTCATGGTGCCTGTGCATCTTAAGGGCCCACAGGCCTTTAGACCTCACTTTCCTTCCTCCATTTCACTAGGCGCTGCCAAAGCTGAAAGTGACAAACGTCAGAGCGCAGGGCCCGGCCGGGGACCAGGGTTTGTCGTGGATGAGCACCAGGACAATGTCTTCTTCCCCAGTGGGCGGCCATCTCACTTGGAAGAGCTGCACACGCAGGCCCAGGAGGGGCTTCGCTCCCTGCAGCACCAAGGTAACCCTGCCCTCCTCTCCTCCAGTGTTGCTCTCTTGGCTGAGATTCAGGGGCTTATGCCACATACCCTTCTGGTGTCTTCCAGAAAGACAGAAACTGAACAAGGGTAGCTGGGACCATGGAGACACCCAGAGCATCCAGGTGAGCCCTGCCCCCCAGCTCAGTCCTGACTGCTCTTCCTTCCCTATTTGACCTCTGGCCAACATAGCTTTGTATGTTGCTGGGTCTCTCTGCTTCCTGCATCATCTGGACTGAATGATCCTGGGGGCTCATCCAGGGATTGCGTTAGCTCACGTCTGTGTGATATTGGGAGGAATCTGTGAGTCAGAAGTTCCAGCAGGCAGTCCTCAGTAGGCAGCCTACTCAGGCCGGGGCCTGCTCTCCTTCTCCCCCCAACAGTCCTCCCGCACAGGGCCTGATGAAGACAGCATCTCCTTCTGCAGCCAGAATACATCCTACACGGCTGAGAGCACCACGGCTGAGGATGCCCTGTCCATCCGCTCGGAGATGATCCAACGGAAAGGTATCTGCTCACCAGCTGAGATTCTTGGACAGGGAAGAGGGTGGCGGGGATTGTCATGTCCCAGCACCTGCAGCTTCCCTTTTTCCTCTGAATACAGTGTTCTTCCAGGCTCTGTGATTCCGTGAATTCAGGAGATACTATCCTCTGTCCTCTTGGAGATTCATAATGCACATTCACTGTAAAGTAGGACAGTTAAGAGTTGAGAAACCTGTGTTTGAGACTTGATATGCTACTTAGCAGCTGTGTGACCTGGGGCAAACCCTTAACCTCTCTGAGCTTCTGTTTAATGTTCTATAAAAAATCAAAAGATAATAAGAGCACTTACCTTTTTGGAATGAATGCCAAGCTCTAGCATGCTGATATAATAATAGTATATTTACTAAATAATAAGCATTCACTAAATGAAAATGGTCATTGTTGCCTAGTAGTAGCCTTCCAGAAAAGTTGCCTCCAGAGCTGTTATTAATATCCCATAAAAGTAATGCTCTGCAGAACATGGTGAGTCCTTCTGTACTAACTGGTTTTTTCCCCCTGTCCCCCTCTGGCCCTTAGGATCCACCTTCCGACCCCATGACTCATTTCCCAAATCATCTGGAAAGTCAGGGCGCCGGCGGCGGGAGAGGCGGAGCACAGTGCTGGGACTGCCGCAGCATGTGCAGAAGGAACTTGGTGAGTCTTGGATTAGGCAGGCTGCAGTGGTGGGTGGGGAGTCCCACCCAGACCCTCTCTGCTGACTGCTTCCTCCTTGTCCACTCCAGGCCTGCGTAATGAGCCTGAGGCACCAGGTACTTCTCGGCCTCCTGGTCCATGGGCTGCTGTCCGCATCCCCACGGTGGATGGCCATCCAGCTGGCCTGGCCTTAGGGACAGGGGTCCGGGTGTCCCTCCAGGCCCTGGAAGCAGAAGCAGAGGCTGGTGCGGATTCAGAGGCCATGCTGCAACGTCACATTGACCGTGTCTACCGTGATGACACACTTGTTGGCCGGTCCACTGGGGCCCGGCCCCCACCACTGACCCGGCCCATGTCCCTAGCAGTGCCAGGACTGACAGGAGGGGCTGGGCCTCCAGAGCCCCTGAGCCCAGCCATGTCCATCTCACCCCAGGCCACCTACTTGTCGAAGCTGATCCCACATGCTGTGCTGCCACCCACAGTGGATGTGGTGGCCCTGGGCCGCTGCAGCCTGCGCACACTGAGCCGCTGCAGCTTGGCCTCAGCCAGCCCAGCCTCCATCCGTTCACTGGGCCGCTTCTCCTCAGCCTCCAGCCCCCGGCCCCGCAGCCGCCATCCTTCTTCCTCCAGTGACACCTGGAGCCACTCTCAATCGTCCGATACCATCGTGTCTGACGGTTCCACCCTCTCCTCTAAGGGGGGCTCTGAGGGCCAGCCAGAGAGCTCTGTGACTAACAATAGTGTGGCACCGCCATCTCAAGGGGGCAGTGGGAGGGGCTCCCCTAGTGGGGGTAGCACTGCCGAAGCCTCAGACACAGTCAGCATTCGGAGCAGTGGGCAGTTGTCTGGCCGGAGTGTGTCCCTACGAAAGATGAAGCGCCCTCCGCCACCGCCCCGCCGGACCTACTCCCTCCATCAGCGGGGCTCAGCAGCACCTGATGGGCCCTTAGGGTTGCCTCCCAAGCCCGAGCGGAAGCAGCAGCCACAGTTGCCCCGGCCACCCACTACAGGTGGGTCAGAAAGGGTCGGGGCAGCGCCCTGTCCACCCAACTCAGCAGGTGGCTGGGTGCCTGGCTTGTCTCCCAGTGGTTCCCGGCGCCCCCCACGCTCCCCAGAACGGACACTTTCACCCTCCAGTGGATACTCGAGCCAAAGTGGTACCCCCACCCTCCCTCCCAAGGGTCTGGCAGGTACCCCGGCCTCCCCAGGCAAGGCCCAGCCTCCTAAACCAGAGCGTGTCACATCCCTTCGATCTCCTGGAACCTCTGTGTCCTCTTCACTTACATCTCTGTGTTCTTCATCCTCTGATCCTACGCCCTCAGAGCGCTCTGGTCTACATATGTCAACCTCCATAGGTGATAGGTTTATCATACCGCCTCATCCCAAGGTGCCAGCCCCCTTCTCCCCACCTCCCTCTAAACCCAAGACCCCAAACCAAGCTGCCTCTGCTCTGGTTGCCCCTCCCATGGTTCCTGGGCCCATCTCTACCACTGATGCCAGTCCTGAGTCCCCTCCTGCTTCCCAGACATCCCTGACCCCACCCCAGGAGTTTCCTATTGTCCCCAAAGACCAGTCACCCCCGCCATCCCCACCTCCATCCTATCACCCACCACCACCCCCTAGTAAGAAGCTGGAGGTGGTTGAGGAGGCCCCACCAGTCCCAGAGACTGCTGAGGAGCCCCTCTTAGACCCCAACTGGCCCCCACCCCCACCTCCCGCATCTGAGGAGCAGGACCTGTCCATGGCAGACTTCCCCCCACCCGAGGAGGCCTTTTTCTCTCTGGCTGGCTCTGAGCCTGCAGGCCCTTTGGAGCCCCCAGAGCCTGTCAGCTCTTTGGCTGCTTCCCTTTCAGCTGCTGTCTCTGTCCAGAGCCAGCCCCAGGGTACCCCAGAGCCGCCTCTGGCTCCACCAGTTCCACCTCCAGCCAGTTCTGTCCCCCAGCTTCTGGCCAAGCCCCCTCAGGAGAAGGAGCCAGTGGGCAGCAGCAAGAGCAGTGGGACTTCCAGGGAGGATGCAGGTGTGCCTCTGGTCACGCCCTCACTCCTGCAGATGGTGCGGCTGCGCTCTGTGGGCACTCCCACAGGGGCTCTGACCCCACCATCAGGGCCATCAGCCCCCCAGAAGCCACTCCGAAGGGCCCTATCAGGGCGGGCCAGTCCCGTGTCTGCACCCTCTTCAGGGCTCCATTCTGCCGTCCGACTTAAGGCCTCCAGCCTGGCTGCCAGTGAGGGCCTCAGAAGTCCCCAGGTGAATGGAGCACCTGAGGCACAGCCGAGGTCTCCCCAGACCCCTGCCTCCACGGCCAGCTTCATCTTCTCCAAGGGCACTAAGAAGCTGCACATCGAGCGACCTGTGTCCCCTGAGGCCCAGGCTGACCTCCATCGAAATCTGGTGGCTGAACTTCGCAGCATCTCAGAGCAGCATCCACCTCAGGCCGTGAAGAAGCCACCTAAGGCTCCCCCACCTGTGGCCCGAAAGCCCTCTGTGGGAGTTCCCCCACCTGCTTCCCCCAGTTTTTCCCAGTCTGAGCCCCTTACTGCTCCTCCCACCAACGGGCTCCCTCATGCCGTGGACAGGACTAAGGGGGAGCTGACCGAGAATGGAGGTACGCAGCTGGCAGGCCCAGAGGAGATGAGTCCCCCAGGCTCAGGTACAGTGGTTAGCGGTGGGCATGGGTCCTAACACTGATGGTGGGAAATAAGTATCCAGAGTCCCACCACTGGGGATTTCCTCTTGGAATTTTGACTTTGGTCTGATGCCTGGGACAGGCAGACCTATCCCTGAGCTAGTGGAAGGAATGAGCATCAGGGCTTTGGCATCAGACCTACTCCGTGTATTCCAACTTTATCACTTTACCTCCTGTTCTTGTTGTGCTATGAAGCGTGGCCAGTGACATCTATGCTACAGTCCCTTAAGTGTCCAGCTCAGTGCTGTTGGTGTCATGTCACTGAAGGGGATAGGACAAGTTTGGGTGAGAATGTGCCTTGGGTTCTTAGTGCCAGAACCAAGCTGGGAGGCCTGTTGCTAAGTGTCCATTTCCCCTACAGAGCCACGGAAAGAGCTGGTCTGACCACCACACTTGCTGGCACTGCTGACCCATCCTAGGAATACAATCTCTCAGGGACCTGAGCAGCTCTAAGGACCAGAGGACATGGCAGAAACAACCTAAGAGAGGACGCCTGCAGCCTTAACCTCCACGGCCTTTGATATTTATGCAAGCCTGGTGTTGCCCCGTCCTCCAAACCACCCAGCTCTCATGCCTTTTCCTGGAAGGATTCACCTCCAGCAGCTGCTGCTTGTCTTGGTCTTAGCCTCATCTTAAAGGAGGTAGCTGGTGGGAGTGTGTGGCTCTGCCCCCTGCTGGCCACAAAGCCACAGGCAGGTGCAAAGCCCCTTTTCTTTCTCTTTTTTTAAATGTCCAAATCATGCATACTGTAGTCCAGAATCAAAGCACTTTTGCAAAGTGGCTACATGTCCAACCTCCAGAGCCTGTGAAGCCACATTCCAAGAGCCTGTTTACATGACGGCAGCATCAATCTCTGGTAGCCAGTCCATAGCTGGGACCAGTCTGTCTCCCTAATCCAGTTTGCTCCTTTTCTTAGTTCTTGGAGGTGGACAAGTCACTTATTCCCACAGGCTTCCCCAGGCTGAGGGTAGGAGTGGGACTGTTGAATTCCAAAGCACAAAAGGTGCAGTGGGGGATAGACTTCCTGTGCCTCAACTTACTACCCACCTCCTGCCTTCCAGTTCTGCCAGGTGCTCCATGCAGGGGACAAGAAGTAGGAGTCTGCTAGGACCCAGATGGGTAGGGGAAGAACCAGAGGGGAGGTCTGAGGTGCTCTCTGTCCCCTGAATGTGATGAACAGTCACCTTAGCTGGTCCTTGGTATGCCAGGCATCTGCCTGTTTCAGTCTGATCGGTGGGGGTGGATTGGCACAATTTCAGAGGCAGGAGCCCATGGGCTTGTCCCTTTTAGCTTGGCAGGAAGTACTGAGGTGGAAGGGGGGGAAACTGGCAAGGGGAGAGATTTATTTGGGCAGCAGGCCCAGATCTGGTCCTTGGACTTCTTTCTCTGACCTTTCTCTTCTCAGTGATGTCCTTTCTGCAGCTGCCTTCCAGCAAGGGTGATTCTACTGGGGGCAGCTGAGGCTGAGTGGCAAGGATGGGAAGCCAAAGGTGCATTTTACTCAACTCTTCCCTAGTCAGTGAGAGGCACCCAGTGGTCCTAGTGAGGAGGCCAGGTGGCTGTTCCCCAAATGTCAGCCTCTGCTACTGATCCTTCCTCTTGGAATTTTAATGACCTCTGTTTTTGGCCTATACCAACTATCTAGGTACGCCGACTTCCTCGTTGGCCCCCGTGACTCCATAGGGGTGGTCATAGTGCCTCCCTTTACAGTAGCCTGGTTGCCACTCAGAGCCATCCCTTCTTGATCCCCTTTCCTTAACAGTGACATGGACTTGAGCCTGGCAAGGCCTGCGTTTAGCTTCTCTGTTACCAGGAGAGTGACACTCTGGCCTGTCACCTGCCCCTCAAGAGCTGGGAACATAGAGGGTGTGTGGCCTGCTCTAGGGATTTTCAGTTCATCACTACCATCTTCTTCCTGTAGCTGTAAATCAAGTCTTTCCCTTGCCCTGTGGGTAATGGGGAGCTGCTGCTGGGTGTATGTTGCACCGCCCAGTGAGTTGAGGAAGGACAATCAGTAAGCACTGTTCTGCCTAGAGCTCATCTCCCCTGCCCTAGAACCCAGGACCATCAAAGCCCCATGGCAGCTAGCAGTGTCCTCGGAGATGGTGAAGGCAGGAGGGACCTCGACTTGTGTTTTTCCTTCCCCTCCAATGTTACTGGAGCGCTTCTCCTCAGTCGGGATTTTCTGAGTTTATCTCCCCACTGGGTGGGCCAGAGTACAAAGAAGGAATCTAGAAGAGTCAACTTTTCTTTGTCCTCTGGGGTAAATGAGCTTGACCTAGTCCAAACGGAGAGACCAAAAGCCTCTGATTTTTCATTTGCATAAAAATGTTAGAAGAGAGAAGTATATATATATATATATGTATTTCTTTAAATTTTTGAGTCTTTGATATGTCTATACAAACAATCCATTCCC